TCTGGAATTGCGCATTTAACTGGGCATATCTCCCCTTTTCACTGTTTCCTTTTGCTTTCCTCCTTTCTTGTGAACTTAGCATTGTAATATAAGGTATGTTGTAGTAGAGATGTCTATGAATGTAAAGGTATAAAAAAAGTAATTGATAACATGTTTGGTGTGTATTTTTTGTGAGGGGTTGTTGAAATGTAACCAGAGAATGTGTTAACAGTGACATGAAGAATTGTGTAAGGGGAAAATGAGGGACAATGTGTGTTGTCTGTTTGTGAAAGTTGGTTTGTTTTAGTGCCTATGGGGTGTAAGTTAAATGGAGTTGTAAACATGTGTTGTGGGTTTGGATAAAGAGTTTGTAGAATAGATCTATTGGTTATCATAGATATATGTATAGAATGTCATGTGTTTTATCTTTTTGTTATGGAAATCAGTGAGGAAAATTAGGCAAAGAGTGTAAGTGGTTGTAGTTGAAAGGACTGTTAGGAGTTAATTATGATTTAGATGTGTAGGGATGGCTTGGAGACAGAACGAAAACTGTCTGTGATGAAGAGATCAGATTAACTGAACATGTTAAGATATTTAAAATGATAAAACTGAGTGTGTTAAACCCAGGTCAATAGTGGGAAGCCATGTTTAACCCCTAGCATTGGGATGGTATGATTTTAAAATCTTTGGAACTGGTATAGAGTCATAAAGGGAAAAAATCAGCTCTAAATCCTTTGAGGTTTAGGTAGTAATGTGGGTGGAGTCTAGAAAGGTAGAAAATGTTGTGTTAAAATCTTTAGGGAATGTATTTTGAGCAATGTTATGGGTAAGTGGTTTTAATCTGTTGAAATATATGTGGATGAGTGAGACAATGATCAACAGTAGACCTGTTGGAAAACTTTAGTGATTGTGTAATGAGAAATGGGTAATAGGTTTTGTAGTATGAGGATGAAAAGGCATGATTTTTATAGGGCTGTGTTTTGTTGTAGAGTAAGCATTTGGACAGTCATTAATCAATTAATCAATGATTTATTATGGTCTTTGATCAGCACAGTATAGAATAGGCATCGGTGTGTATAAGGAAGGGAATTGTAGTTTGTAAGTAGATCAGGTAT